CGGCCAAGCGAGTCACGCTGACACATTATGCAAGTATCATCGAATTCATGCGACAGGTTGAGATGTTTTATTCAACGTCGTGGGTAAGCTACGATGTAGGACTGTCGTTTTATAGCGTTACAGGCGATCATGAATATGTGAATAACACACATATATTGAAAAAAAAACCATGAAATTTCAGAAAGACTTTTTTATTTAATTTATTTATTTGTATTTCGACGGTTGTCCGACTTTCTTTCCACTGTGTGAGCTACTGACAAATATAAACAAATAATTAACCCATCGAGTAACACTCTGTTGTACAAGTCATGTCCTTTTCAAATTATTCACTTTCAATGGGTGGGTAAAAAAAAATTCTTATTGTTTGCAAAATGCCCAATTAATTCATGCATGACTCACGGTTACCGGCAGGGCGCCGATCAGTTACCGGGGCTTTGTTTACCATGCATTCATTAATCGAAGGTGATAAATAGTCGGTATTGGTCCTATCAGTACGGTAATTGTCCGGCCGGTACGGTAACGCAACGGTCGGTACGGTAAAGCAACGACCGGTACGGTAAAGCAACGACCGGTACGGTAAAGCAACGACCGGTACGGTAAAGCAACGACCGGTACGGTAAACCGAGTCAAACTCACAGGAAACCGGCTGGGTGGTAATGATCAGTTCCCTAAGCCCATCATATATAACTGACTGCAAGCTATCCAAACACTAATTTTTTGAAAAAATTAGTGACATTTGTTCCAACATATGTTAAACATTAGCCACTTTGCAGTCCCTGTGAGGAATATTGTATTCAAAATTAAAGCAATTTGTATCCTAAATCAAGGTTGGTCATTCCATAGGGCTTTTTCTGTCATGTGACATGTCAAGCCAAGCCATGCCATAAGTTACAGCGTCCTGTAATTTTGCGGTATTTTACAAGGTATTTTCATTCTACCATATAAGGAAATGAGAATTCAAAATATGGAATGATTATGCGCGTAAGCGTCTTCTAATAATAAAAACAAACATGTCTGCCACCAGGGTTTGAGCGGACTCCACACAAAAAAGTTCGCTGATTCTGTTCTAAACTTTTTGGATTTCGGCATTCCCATGATGTATCCTTGGAAGGAAAAAGTGTATAATAATAAAGTTATTACGAGGATACCTAGTATGCACTCAGACAGTCAGCTGATACTCCCGCTGTACTGTTTTCGTGCATACTTTATACTTGTAATAACCTCATATTATTTTTATATTCTACGTATATGCAATAATCTGAAATTGATTGTATCTTTTACCATGGAAAACTATGTTTGCTTTATTTGATGTGAAATATAAGCACAATAAACCAAAAATCTTTCTCAAAAATTTGTTTTTCTGAATCATCAAATAGCCGTGGTCACTGTGCGGTGCATGTGAGACATTTGTGTTGATAAACATTGATTTTCTCCCAATCAAACACTCTTCTAATGGGAATCACAAGGACGAGTTATGACCTGGGCACGACTTGCACCAATCACCTAAAAGATTACCTAATTAAAGCCTGGTAATGTCTCAGTTTGTACTCGTTGAGCAACAGTCAAAGGCGCCATGTTCATTTATATGAGACCCATATCTTGGGCATGCTTGGCGTGACAACCATCTCCCTTTAAAATATCACTTATTTTTTACCGTAGAACAATTTACATTTAATTTAATTAATTTTACATAAGTGAATACACAAATAGAACAAATACAGTACATTATATTCACTTGAAATTATTGTCAGTGTTTTGCTGGGGGTACCAGAAATAAAATACACTGATAATATTTTCTTTCCTAGTGTTATTCACTTTGGAAGTAAATTACAAATTATAGTTTTCTTTGTAAATAAATTTCAATAAAAAAGAATATTTCCACTGTGTATTAGAATAGGTATGAATATAGTAACTCTTTAAAATTTGAATTATCATCAATATTTAATTTTGTATATTAAATATGAATAACTCAATAATAGCCCGCTCTACATTTGTATAGGTGGTTTATTATTTTAAATGGAAGTCAATATTCTGTCGCTAAATAAATAATTACCTCTGTGCATTATCTTTGTGATTATGAGTGATAGCGACGTATAGGAGTATGTTACTCCTTTTAGTGGAGAGTGAATTCTTGATTCTCAGTTGGTCTCGTTATGTGTGATATCATCTAAATACATTAATGTGCTAATAACATCTCAAGACGACTATTCCCCTGGCCTAACTCAAAGCTATATAATTCACTGAAGATATCAGTTTGTATCAGTCCAACAGACCATGATCTGATAGTATGTGTAACGGATTTCTTTGATACCGATTTGTGAACATCAAATGGCATGACTGAAATCGAGGAAAGCTCATTGTTTACTTTTCTAGTAAGGGCACATCATCACCATATGGTGAATGACTTTTTGCTAGATGTCGTTTCAGTTTATGATCTATATGCTGTGAATGCATCTGATTGTATTTCTTTTCTTTAATTTCTATATATATATTAATTTTTGTGTGTTTGACACATTTAAATTAACCTTTTTAAGGCCAAAGAATGAGTATTGTTAATAAAATTTCAGTGCTGTGATTAAATTGAGTGAGATTGTCACCTGCTTATATGTAAACAACAACAGGCTGTCCATGTGCAGTTGATGACTCTCATTACTGATTATTGCCAAGGCTGATTTGCATATTAAAAAAAAAACAGACACAAAATCTAGCTTTGGTTCAGAGTTTAAGATACAAAGTCATATTCCATACATTTTCTCCAGTCATCACATCGTGATAGAGGTCAATATTTTATATACAATACATGTAGGCTTCTGCTCAGTTGTTTTTCAAATAAATTATGAAGGATTTATATTTCTATCACCACAACCTAAATTATGCTCGACAGAGGTCGGCATATAAGATACTGTGGAATACTTTATTTTCGCTGGAATTAATTTTCGCTGAAAAGGCTTTTTGAGCGTTTTTTATGGAATTTATTTTCACTGATTTTTGATGAGTTGAATGTGAAATATAGGAAAAAAAGTATATTCGCTGGATTTTATTTTTACGAAATCGTACCTTCAGCGAAAATAGCGCATTGCGAAAATAGCGCATTTATTCTACAGTAAATCATAGTCTTATTCTTCTGGGTAGGATTAAAGAGGAGGTCAGTGCTACATTGATATTACCTTATGTGAGAGAAGGCAATTGTACCATGGCAATTTAATCAAAGGAAAAATCTGTAGATTTGATGTTATCACTACTTTAATAAATGAGGTACCGTGGTACTCCCATAGTGCATCTCATGTCAACAATAGAAGGATTATATTGCAGCTCAGTGACACAATCATGTGAATTCTTTTCATGTGACAATTCTTTAAGTTTTAATGTAATTATATGCGCACACAATAACTGGGAGCAGGCTTATATACAATGTATGCTTTTCGTTTTAACTCTTTCTTGGCAATATTTTTCTACAATGTGCTTTTCTGTAATTTCTTCATTAATTTTTAACCAAATGGGCATCAAATTTCCTATTGCTACAGGTCTCTTCTTAAAAATATTTGTACAAAGATAAACAATTTCTATTTGCTGGCAAAAACTGACTTTGGTGTCTAAAGGGTTAATGCAACAGAATTGTCTGTAGATCAGTCCTTCTTTTATGTGTTTTCTTTTGATACCGGTAATAGTAACTTATATTTTTATACATCTGTCACCGTAACGCCATAAGTTACAGCGTGCCGTAATTTTGCAGGATTTTATGGGGTATTTTCATCCTACCATATAAGGAAATGCGAATTCCAAATATGGATTCAGGAATGAGTACATGCGTAAGCGTCCTCTAATAATAATGGCTTTAATCAAAATCAAATCAACAACAAAAATAAATAAAATTTTGACAATATTTTTTTTTTTCAAATACGTTGTCTAATTCATTAGGTGGTATTTGAACATTTTGTCAATTCAATTTGGTAAATTACGGTTAAAGGCAAATATCACCCTTGATTACTAAACAAATAATATATATTTGTTGTAGACTTGCGAAAACAGCTGATTGAAAGTAAACAGGAATTGGTGGCTGTGAAAACGCAGCGAGATGAAGCTAAGGATACTGTTCTTTTTTTCAAGACAGAAGTGGCCAATATCAACACAAAGGTAAACTATGCAAAAATACACTTTTCATATTGTTACCTGTACCTGTACGAACATTCTCCTCAGACTCTTTTTTTTTTTTTCCATTCAGAGCAGCTTAATAATATATAAGACTTTGGTGCTCTGGTAAAACAGGTTTCACTTGTAAATTTAGAATTTTTTTTTTCACATTATAATAATAATATTTATTAATGCATAAGGATAAAAAGGGTCTTACAAAAAGAAATTTAAAAACTATAATCTAAAAAAAAAACAAAAAAAAATATGAATAAAAAAATAAAGGCAATTTGCAACCAGTGGACTTCGTGAATACAGAATATGGAATGAACACCAATTGTAACCTACTACACTGATAGTTGTTGTTATAGTAGTGTTCTTGAATTTATAGTAGTGTTCTTGATATTTTGTTCTTAGAAAGTTGTCTATTGTTCTGTTACTTCTGTTCTGTACCATATGTTCATTCTTCATACAGTAAGGTATGATTGCTCTAGTTTGGGTGACGATAATAATGTATATTGCAGAAATTATTGCGTAAATACATACAGTCGTTTTTGACTCCCATGTGCGAAGCACAAAATGGGAGTCTTTGCAGTTAGTGTGTCTGTATGTGTGTGT